CGGCAAAACCAAAACCAGAGAAAGGTGTTGTATCCGTGGGTCCTGGACACTAATTTGCGCGCAAAGGCTGTTGGGGTTAAATCCAACATGGCTGCGTCGGCTGCGTCCACGTGAGTTCCAAGATGTTTTGCTCAAACTGTGGCGCTGAGACGGTTCCAACGGCAAACTTTTGTACCAGATGTGGTCAAGGTAACATGTTGCAAGTTTATTTCGTGTACATAACGATGGGAGAATTGATGAATACTCGTTAAATTAAACGTGTGCTTTACCTTTGCATTCAAGGATTTGCTTCGACCTCGTCAGCTCAGTCGACAGAGTCAACAATATCAGAGGATGTAAAAGGTAAAAACCTATATTGAGGCCATACTTGTTTGCCACAAGATACATGGAAGACATGACGGAAGAGTCGTCGTCATGAATCGTTATGTAGCTGTATTAAAGTGGTACTGGAGTATTTTGGGTGGAAATTGAATTAACTTTTCCACGTTACTGATTACTGAAGTGGTCCGGAATTGTGAGTCACGCGTGTGAAATTGTCCTGTATGCGTGTGATCGACGTTTTCGATCTGCAGGAGTGTGACACAGGCAAAATGCGTGTTAGTTGGCAGGTATACTGATGTTTCTTACCAAGTGTCTTACCCAGTATTAGATCCACCAAACCCAATCCACTGTCGCGAATGCTCCCATACTTTATGTGATCCAGGATAAGCCCACAATTGAAATTCCACTCACTTTTAATCGCAGAATCCCTAGTCACTCTGGTCACAGTATATGATAATCCCTAGTTTCGTAGTAATAGAACAGCACCTACGATCTACGAGTACAGTATCAATTTTCTCCCAAAATTCTAGAAAAGGCCTGTCAATCATTGGTTAATAAATAAATGATAACACCTTATTCCTGACACCACCATGGCAGGGTGGATTTTAATAGTTGAGGAGTGTTATATTTACCTGTATTAACAATCACCCCCCTCCCCACAGGGTTCCTCCTCCCGCTGAACAGTCATTGTATTTGTGGTGTAAAAAAATTACAATACTGTTGAAGACAAATTTTCATGATCTCTCTGAACATGAAAATTGATTGTCAAGTAAAACATTTTGATTATTATGCTTTCAGATATTCCTCCTACAGTAGACACACCCAAGGCC